ACTGTGCACGAATGCCACTGTGCACGAATGCGCAACTCAATTTTTTGTGTGTCTTCACTTCAAATCAGCGCTCACAGCACTAGTGCCGTTTACTCCAACCCGTGGTCACACAGAAGAGCCCCTCTCTACCGTCCCCTCCTGCGGTAGTTTGCCTTCGATTTTTAATGCGAGAAGAGTTAAGCACTCTCTTCCCTCTGTGTACACACGAACTAGCGCTATCCACTAGGCCAGGAGCGGAAGCGAGTGAAAAACTCACTTTGCAAGAAAAGCTCGCATACGCCGGGATTCGAACCCCTGACCTGACCTCTAGAAGGTTTTGAGGATACCAACTAGATCACCGGGGCGACCGGCAGCTTAATGGCCGGCGCTGATGAAGAAATCTCCCGTCGGGTTGCAGCTAGCTGCTTTTCACATCGCTCTCAGTGTCGACGGACAGCGTAATGAGATCAGTCTGGGTGGGAATTGTATCAAGCCTCCGACAGTAGCTCACTTGCACACCCAGACGGTAGAGTCTGCGTTGATTGAGAAGTCGACCACCTTCCCACCGCCTGACGTGCCCGCCACTGTGTTGTCCGGCCTCACCATGATGCCTCCGCGGATTTCGTCAAAGAGCCCCCCGTTAACGTCTAGAAGCTGCGTGTTGTGTGACCGCCGCGTGGTCATCAACGCACAACCGTCAGAAGGGCATGGGTTTCAAGTAATAACCAGGTATTCTGTGACTCGCAAATTTATTCAAATTGCGGACACGATGCTACTGATTAAATCAACAATGTCAACTAAATGAAACACAACATGTCCTCGCACAAGCAGCAAGCGAAACAAACCTCTGTGGGCGAGAAAGTTGCCCGCCATGACGTTGCTTTTCCACGTCGAAGGGGATGACGCAATGCCGGAGTAGGATATCATTGCACGAGGTATGTCGATATTCACCGGCAATGAGTTTTTGGTATTCTAACGTGCTGTGGTGTACCACATGTTTCACCTGTGGTATGTTACGATATACGACGCCGTAGTCGTCGTAGGCTGGGTCGTTCGCGAAATCCCCGTCGTAGTCAGCAACCGTCACGAGAAACTGGTCACCCTCGTAGGTGTTTTCCACCTCCACCTGACATGCAATTCATTGAATATTTTGCGCGTCCCCATTCCCAACAGCAAAACTAGAGTAAAACAAGAGGCTGATGAGTGAAAGGGGTCGACTTCCGATGGAAGGGGGTTGTAGTTGTCTTGAAGGCGACGTAACCCATGGAAACAATCTGTCGGAGCGCAGGAGGAGGGCGACGAGAGTTCAGGAACAGCGGGCAGCAGCAGTGACGCGTGCACGTTTACTCAACCTAGCACTAGAGCCTAGCGACCGCATATACACCTGCCAGCCCCCTTTCGCACGCATCGCAGCCGTGCCATCTTGTTCATCATACCCGACAGGCGCACGGCAGGTTGTTTTTTATCTCAACATGCGCTTCATCGCAAAAGGTTGTTGGGATATTTTGCGAGAGGTGGTGGTGGGCAGAGTTCTGATCGCTGTGCATCTACCAGATACGTGTTTTACCTCATGCTCGTCGTGTGACGGACACTGCGGACCCTGCCTTTAAGACCAGATTCATGAACAATGATAACTTCATGCATACGCACAACATTAAGAACCCACCTGGAACGGTATGATGGTGAACTCGAGCCACAGGCAAGAGAATTCGGTCTGGTCGTCGCCACAATCAGCCTCCCCACCGTCGGAGTCGCTGGTGCTCCCGAGGTAGACCCAAGAAGTCTCGTTGCACCACGGCTGCGTGGGCATCGCCCAAGCCATTCCCTGGGTTGATTTCGGCGCGAAACGGGGAATCGAACGGTCGGAGGTGTCCCTGTTAACGGAGGGATCGACCAACGTTCGAAGCCTGTTGTCTACAGTTAGGTGGAACAATGATCGAAATCGAAGTTGAAGTTGCGTGTGGGTGAGTGAGGAACGCCAGGGATGTGAGTGCTGAACAAGGTATTCGTTGTAAAGGAACCCGTTACTAAGCGTGAGATCGTGTCGTTTCGGCGCGGGGCCACTTTGTGCTCTCAAACACGGGGTGTAACCGACCAAACAATGCGCTACAGTAGCACCCGCCAAGTTTAGCCAGCACCATGGCCACAGACGACTTCGTCCAGCTCAAGCCATCTTGGAACCTACCCCCAACTTAACGAAATCCGTACCACCGACAAAACACTCTTTTTCCGAACCACGTTCATGGCTGCAACGCTACACGAGCATCTGCCTACCTGAACGTCGCAGTTGTAAGCGTATTCCTCGCCGCAGTCCGCTGTAGTGGCATTGGCATGGAAAGCGCTGCACCACGGCACACGCACATCCACGCTGTACAGCAAGTCATCGCCGAACTCCAAGCCGCTATCCGAATCGACCACTTCGATGGTGACAACCTCGCCCGAATTGTGGAAGCCAAGATCTATTTCCTCTTGCCATTGCTGTTGCAACACAAATGGACACAGTAGGTGGGGAAGGCGCGGTACATTATAATCGTGCGAGGAGGACGGGGTTAGGTTCTGACAGTGAACGGGGTCATGGGGTAAGAAGGCGCTTCAATCATTAACTACGTGGTCGAAGTGGTGATAAGAAATCGACACAATTGTCCACCCCCCGGCTCTAACCCACCCTTTCTTCTGGCCCATATCCCCCCTTTAGGATTTTGTACATACATGTAGATTACGTACAGTCCGCGATGTTTTTTAGATAATCCCTTCTTGGAGGCATTCGTTTCAAGGGGGAGTCTTTCCGTCCCTGATTAGTTTGCCGCAGGCCTCGCCACCTCCGCCGCTTCCTTGTGAACGAATGAGATGAAGCCATTCAACGCAATTTATCCACTCCCTCCCTGTTCCGCCCGTCCAAACTAATCCCGATGGACGGAACGTACGTGTGCTGCACGGTTGAACTTCTGTATCAGCCTTGATTTTGACTTTGGTCCTTGCTCCTGACCCTCCGCAGTCTACATGGCCAAAAACGTACGTACGTGTGTATCCCCATATCCCTTCCCAGTTCAGGCCGTCCTCTACCATACTCGTTACACATAGTACTCTCCTCTCACTTCAATGCTTTGTTCTCAGTTTTCGCTTTATCTATTCTCACCGGGTTGAGGTTCCCATCCACCACAGATGACTGAGCCGCGTTGGCTCCCACGGAAAACTTTACGTAAGGATCGCTAAGACCGCTCTGCTGGTGAATGTCGGCGTCAGGCAGGTTAATCGCTCGGTGGAGAATAGCATGCACCCGACCACCTGAGGAATGACTCTACGAGCAGGATACCGGGGGAATCGTAGGGGGTGGGGGGACCACTATCATCATCGTGCATTTTTGTCGACGTTAAGGCGCGAGCATTACAAGCCTCTGTGAGATGATGCTGGATGCTCTTTTTTTCTAGGGCTTCCATTCATATCTCGGGAAGTAATAAAACGCGTGTGGACGGTGAGAGGGGGGTTGGTTGGTGGCAAAGAACGGTGCCGATTGAATTCGGAGATGTCTTGTGCCCATCCATCTCATCGGATTTTCATCTTGTAATCTGTACACTCCGAACCTAGGCTGTTGTAGCACACCCGCAGTGTGCATGCGCACTTTCGCTGCAGCAGTTTTCTAACTACAAGTACTTGTGGTATTTTGTCTACATAAGTCTATAACAGACACGCGTGTTGACAACATTTAGATCTAAACTACAGACAGGAGACAGCAGACTCGACTATAGTACATCGTCTACAGCAGTTCCATAAATAAACAAAACCTGGGCCACGGTTCGTTGTACACTGGGAAACCCGCAGCACATGCTTCGGCAAGCCCACAAGCTGTGTGCCTGTGGTACGATCTTTGTTGGGGTGGCATCACGAAAGAGAAATAGGCGATTTCCCGCCCACCGCCCACCCAACAACACTCCTTTGGATGTACTGTCGTAGTGTGCTGACTGCTGTGTACGTTTGTAGTCTATTGTACGTGCTGTACGTGCTGTATGCATATGTATACGACTACAGCAAAAAATGCGGGTGGACTGGATCATCTGTCTGTGTGTGTGTGGTAGTTTGTTGGTCCGCCGTTGATGCATTTGTTTTCGACTATTATTTAGACCACAGTATTTAGTTTACTGTATGTGTCACCAACCAGCACATTGTGCACAATAGATAAGTACCACGTCCGTTGCAGCATTGTAGTGCAGCTCTGTCGTCAACTGCACCACCACTACCACCACCAACCTGCAAGTTTTTGTCCGGACAGGAAGTATACCCTCCGGAACAAGTGAAGGCCGCCTGCGACGCCTGAAGCCGAGACGCCGCAACCAGGAGCACCGAGAAAAAGCCAACACGGACGTGAGCGGCCATCCTTGAGCGATGAAGTATCCATCGCCTCCCGGTAAATGAGTTCACTCCTGCTGAAGAAGTCATAACCAGGAGCCCTGTGTACCTCAGTACACAACACACAACGACGCCCACTCAAGGCAGTACCACAGCAGCAGTAGTTGAAGAAGGGACAAGGATATTACGGAGGGACATCGTATCGGGTCGTAGAACTTGCTCTTCTTCGCGGGTGGCTGTGCTCTCCGCCGTAATTTAACCCGAGGAAAGGGAGAGCCTGCAGGTACTCAAGCTTTTCTCCTGCACACCACGTTCCCTCATGCTGTAACAATAGCGCGTCGTACGAAACATGTGTCCCGCTTTCCCGCTGCCCCCGTCCTCTCAAGTACGTGATCACCGCACATTTTGTTGTTGTAACGTCAAAAAACGCCTACAACCAAGACTGTACGAAACTTTTTTTTTTACGCTGTAATAATGAGCACTACAAAGCGCAAAAATGCTCTATTAGTGACTAGGGACAGCAAGGGGTCGGGAGCAGGGCAAGGAGGGCGCAAAATTAGACAGATAACACGCGCGCCCAGACACATGACGCGAGGTCATGATGCTGCAGGTTTGCACACAGACAACATTTATTACACTGCCGGGCACACATGATACTTGACAGCCATTCGTCCGTATGCTTCAATATTATTGGAGGGCGTTCTGGGCGTTCGCGTGTCATACCCATACCGTCTACGGTCAGTGATTCATGCATGTGGGTTTTCATTTAGTTAAGCTTCGCCGTCAAAGCACGGGTGAACGTGCAGGTGTGCGGTCGATTCTCCAAGATGAAGTGCTCTACAGAAAAAAACCAACAGGGTGCAAAACCCGATCGAGACGTGCAAGGAAAAACGCTCTCGGCGAGATTTCTTTCCAAAACAATCACATTCGGGATCGATTGATTGGCAGCCTGTGAGTATCTCGGAGCAACGAAAGGAGTGTCACGACAACCTGTTTACATGCATGCTTGGTTGATTAGTATAAGAGACGGAAGGCGCACGCGTAAGATGGACCGGTACGGATATTAGAAGGTACTGAGCAAGGATGACAACAACCAAACAACTTCTGTACCCGAATTTCCAATTTTCCCACCCGAAAAAATGATAATTTCCACACCCAAACCTACACACACACCCCATGCAAATCACAACACTCAAAAGAACAGTACGCAACAAATATACCTACACTCCCTAGCACGCTATTTTCTGTTTCATTCTAAGTGTTCTTTATCCCTCTTTTCGTTTGCTTTTTCTATTCCAAAGACCACGGAACAATCCTTTCTTCCCCTCCCGCTGGTCACCATCACCACCACCACTGCTCGCAGCAGCCATCATATCTTCTGGGGTCCTGGCTCCTCCGCCAGCGGCCAGCCGGTCCGACCCCAATCCAGCCCCACTTTTCAGCCCCATACTTGCCAAAATATCCTCTGCGCTCGCTTTCGAGTCAATCATAATCGGCGGTCCAGCAGCCCCCCCAACTCCAGGAGAAGGAGCAGCAGCACCATGGCTACCACCCGTCGCGACCCCGCTCTCCCCCCAACGTCTCCGGTGTCCAACGTCGGGTGTCGACGGAGCATTTCTACCACCACCGCTACTGCTATCCTTCAACCGCTCACCGCCACCACCCCGTGCTTCTCTTGCTCTATCCAACTCCTGGTCGTTCCATAGGTCCAGCGGATCGGTGGGCGCCCGCGATGCCTCACCGCGTTGCGGCCTTCCGGACCCCGTTCCTCGGCCGGTTCCAGGATATGTTCGGTCTTCCCCTGCCGCTCGTCGTGCTCCGTCGTCGCCACCAGCTGGTCCACGTTGCCCTGAAGAAGGCAGCTCTCTGCCAATATTTTCCAAGCTTTCTCTCGCCCGTCCCTCCCTGCTTGGAATGGCACCAGCAGCTCCGTCTGCTCTCCCGAATTGGCTAGCAAGGTCAGCGTCCCGACCAGGTCTACTTGCTGTGTCGCGACTTTTGGCCCGTTCTACCCCCGCGCTGCCCCCCATGTTAGCGGTGCGTTCGCCGACGCCGGTGCCTTGGGGTGACACCGAATTGGTGTTTCCACTGTTACCAAGGTCCCTTTGTGATGGCGGGTCGTGGGTGGGCGGTGCGACCGCAAACGTCAAACCTGAAGTATCCATGGCAGTCTTGAGAACAGCCGCCACCGGTACCTGCGAAGTGATTTAGAAAGAGCGGGTTCAGAACGCATCTCTGATACCACGTGTGAGACATAGTCGAACGTATCTCTCGCGAACCTCCCTGGTCAACCTGTTCCGATTGAAATATTTGCCGATGACATCGTTTGTATGGAGCGGAGAGTTTTAGTGTACAAGCCAGGCATGGGCCTTACAAGGGTGCGCGACCCCATATGAGAGAGCAAACATACCTGTTTTCCACGGTCAAGCGCCGCCAACACCTTTGAAGACAGCGCCGACAGCCCTGCAACCTCGTTCTCCTCGGTTGGGGCTGGGACGCTGAGCGCGGAGACCAAAGCACCCGCGGCCGCTTCTGCGTTTCCGAGGGCGTCGTGAGCTGCAAAAGAACGACGTGGACAGCGGCGGGTGACGATGTGCTGATATATTACTATGCTGAACCACAGCACCGAAACATACATTTATAGCTTCGAAGTAGTTGGACAAGGAGAAGACAGTATTTCATGCCACCTGCACGTGAATAGCGTACATTCTTCTGTTTCAAGGACGGTGGCTTATGCAACAAAACTCAACAACTTACCGAGCGCTGCGTAGTAGAAACCCCCCCACCACCCTGGGTCGATTGAAGCCGCCTTTTCGAACAGAGACACGGCCTTCTTCGCCTGACCCTGCTGTAGCTTCGCCATGCCCAGCTTGGCCTTGGCTCGCGCGCGCTTCACATCGTCCTCGGAAACGACGATCGGACTAACGGGCACTTCGGCGACAGCATCAGCGGAATCAGCAGTACCCGCCTCAGTTTCATCGCTCTCTGGCCCCTTCGGCACCTCAGTGGCAGGAGTATCCCCGCTTCCACCACTAGCGTCACCACTGCTACGGCTGTTGCCACCCATGGCTTCATCCGTCTCATCATCAGCAGCACCGACCTCGATAGTGGCTGGGGCACGCGCTTCAACGATGTCGTCCCCATCCATAGAGTCCTTTGTGATACTCCCCTTCGCATGCTCTCCAGGACTACTAGAGACTTGCTCGATGTTATCCCCATCTATAGATTCCTCTGAAATACCCTCCTTGGCTTGCTCTCCCAGGCTATTAGTGATTTGCTCTGAGAGGAAGCCACCACTCGTTCCTGGCGTATCGACTGCTGTCGGCGGGAGGTCGAGTTCCTCGCTTTGTGTGTCCACCGTAACATCAGCAGCTCCCACGCCATCTACCACCTCCTGCTCATGTGAATCCCTTCGTGCCTCGGCTCCTTCTGTCTCTCCCTGCACCACAGCCTTTTCGCCTAATGTGTGCACCGCCTCCTCGTCGACTGACTTTTCAGACACAGCGTCAACGCTGCCACCAGCCGGTGCCGTTACATCGTCCTCTGTCCCAACTGGGTTGTCGTTGCCCAGTCTAGTGGCGATATCGTGACCATCTCCACTCACCGTGTCACTTTTAGCGCTTGCCAAAGAAGGCTCTGCAGGGTGAATGACATCAGCCACAGGGTCACGGGTTGCTATGTCACCTTCCTCGAATGAGTCGCTTCCTCCATCGACGCTGCCATTTTCCTCAACTAACCCCGTAAGACCGTCGTCCTCCTCATTGTCGGCGTCAGCCGCGCCGTCGGGTGTTTGTTCCCCATTGGCGTCGTTCAATGGAGGAGATGCGAACTCTCTTTCAGCAGCTGTTGCCGGCACGGTTCTCCCGTTCGCCTGCCTTTCCTTCTCCTCCTCCTCCTCTTCCACCACCGGGACTTCCAAACCGGGTACCGCTGGGCCACGCTCCCCCCCTTCCCCTTCCTTAGACGAAGAGCCAAGTTTGTTTTTGAGCGTGGCCAAGGCATCAGCCTCCGCCTCCGCCTGATCCAGATCTACCACAGCCGTACTCTCTACGTTTCCATTACCGTTTGGAAGAGGTAGTTCAGTACCCGACGGTAGCACATGCTTTTCGCCTTGTTCGATGTCATCCGCAGTACCTTGGTTGCCAATACTGCCGGCCACAGTTGAACCAATGTTGTCGTCATCTCGTGCGGCTAGCTCTTCCTCGACGATGTCTGAATCGAGATAGGCTGCCTTTGCTGGAGCAGAGGATTCTGTGCCGCTACTACGTGCTGGTGTCCCCTCTGCATGTGTCTCCAGTGTGCCCGTTGCCAGCCCGTTGCCATCCACCACCATCGCTATGCCCTCGTCCTCGCCGCCGCCAATGCCCTCAGAAGGCTGCGCACCTATGATCCCATCCGTTGAAGGATCGTGAGACACTAACGTTTCATCGGCTGGGTTCGCGACTGCGGCATCCTTTGCCTCAGCATCCCCTTCCCCACCTGTACCGGTCAGAGTAGTGGGGATGAGAGCGGAGGGAGTGGTAGCAACGGCGGGTTTTGTGGGTCCCTCTGGCACTTGCTTACCGAAAAATCCTCGCGTTGTCGTCGGCACGGCATCATTGTCTCTGAGAGACTCAGACTGCCGTCGCATTTCAGCCGAGTCTTGCCGCACGGAGGACCCTGCACCACCACTGCCGGGCACACTTTTCGCTACATTCCCAATCGGCAGCACATGACCACGGCTGTCGCCGCTGCTTGCACCTTGCCCAACATCCTCAATCTTCCCTATTTCTTTAATTGCTGCTGCCGCTGCTGCGGTCGCTGCTGCCGGGAAACCTGCTTCGCTGCCTTCGCCATGGGGTTTGCTCTCTAAGTCCACCGCACGAAGGTTCTGCGGGTGTAGCGAGTCTTGTTCCTCGAGGCCTCCCGAAGATTGGGCCGCCAGATCTGCCTCGACTGCTACGACGCCATCATTGCTCCCCACCTGTCGTCCACCAGCTCTCTCGACATCCACGAACTTCGCAACCCCCGCTTGTTCCACAACTAGCTCAGGAGAAGCCTCTTCATCGAGTGCGTCTGCAGCAACGTGTGCCTCCGGCTCAGGATTTGTATCGCCGATATCGCCATCTTCATTGTTGTCGACCTCCTCGCCGGTGGCTCTCTTTGCGTCGCTCACGGTAGAGAGTAGTGATTCGTAAATTGTAGGATTGTCTGGTTGCAACCGAGACGCCGCAAGGAAAGATGCAAGAGCCTGCCACGGAGAATGGGGGGCGGGGGGAGAGATACTATAATAATTCGCTGCTAACCTCTTGGTGTGACCATTGATGGGGCATCTCTTCTGAGAATGCATACGGTTTCTACTCCCGGGTACCCTTTTTCATTTCTGCCATACTTGGCATGTCTCTCTTTCTTCTTCGCCTTCTAGTGGCCACCGTAGATATGAGGTCGTTTTCCTCACACGACTAGTAAAACTAACCTCCAAAACAGGCAAGAGCGGTAGAAACTTGCGACATCTCGGCAGCTCCAGTCTCGGCAGGAGGCGTACGGTACACCAGCCAATGTCCCGTACAAATGGCCCGCTCGAACGGTTGTACATCCCTCAGTCCACCTTTGACGATTACTGGAGCAGTGTAACTCTCGAAAGCTGGATAGACGTACGTTGTTTTGAAACCGTTCACAGGTAGAGGCTTCTTGCGATTCCTCAAACAGAAACAACGTCCAGGTTTCCCACTTGGCCCCTGAGGCCCGTCAACAATATTACACCTCGGTGACTCCAAACAAATTACGGCCGCCATGCAGCAGATTCACACGGTTCAACTTCAAACCTACCTCGTGGTGCTGTCCGAGACGCTGTTGGCAGGCGCCAAGATGCATCGTCGCTTCAACATTCTCGGCATCTTGATGAACTACTTTTGAAAAGTGGTCCTGTTGATGGAACCCACCATTTCGTTTAGGCGGACCGTGTGGAATGGGGGGCGGGGGGGGGGTACTTGTTGATTACTTTTGCTTGGCAGGTGAGGAGACAGGTAAAACTGCACTCTGACGAAAAGCAGTGACGATTTACACATCCTATTCGTAGCACTATCCTGTACGGGATTGCGTTTTTACCGGTGTAAAGATCAAGCGAAACAGAGTACCCAACTTGCAATTCGCCTTCGACAGCAGCCGCCAAGCCACCGCCTCTTGGATTCTACTTCTCTGCCAATCATTCGAAGACCTCAATCCCAGAACCCACATTTCACTAGTGCCGAACCCGTCACATATACAACCAGAACCTATCACGGCAAATCATTCTCGGTGATGCAATCTTTACGGTGATAAAAAAAACTAAATCTATCACTCACGGCCGCCTCTCCGACGTTGCCAAGGCTTTCTAGAATGACACCAGTCACCAGCAGCGGGGACGCGTCCAGCGAGTCTCCCTCCTCAAGCATCGCCCTGCGACACATGGTAAGTGAGAGTATGTGTAAGCACCCACAATCAAATGTAGCGCAGAACGTAGCTCACGCAGACCTGAAACACGATGTGTTATTGAAAATACCTGGTGGAGTAGTTCGTGCAGCGAAGGCCACGCCAACAGAACCACTCAGACTTCTTTCGACTACTTGCGACCGTACGCTTCAAAACGGAAAACAAAGATATCACCAACGGCATTTGTGTCATCAACAGTATCCGCTCACGTGAACCACGAATACTCGGAAGGAAGAAGGATTCCAAATCTCACCCGTCGTACCTGACGTACAGTTCATATAGAGGCTGAGTTCAACCTCCCAAAATGTGCCGGGGCGCCAGCCCATTTCGCTACGCGCATGGAAGAAGGGCACCATGGAGAGGAAACTACCCAAAGGCCTCAAAATGACGAGAACGATCCGAGTGTCAATCACCTACCTTCGGCACGCCTCACGAGCCTGCTCTAGTTGCCCAAGCTCGTGGTGGAGCTTGGCGATGTGCACCAAAGATGGGCGTCCGGCTCCCGACTGCACTGCCCGGGAGTAGGATTCTAACGCCTGGAAAACAAGAAAACGTTGCACAATCGACGTTGTAAAAAACAATTGAGCGAAACACACACGACCCAGGTGCGCATTCTAGGGTCAGGTCCTTACAGTACGGTAGATCCGCAAGGCACATGTTCTCAAGGGCGTTCAGCGTCCATTTCCCACTACCACTGCGTACTAAACACAGTTACATGCCCCATGTGCGAGTGGGATCATGTACTTGAGTCTCTCCCGTACAATGGACAGACCTTTTGAAAAGTAAAGCAAATTGAGTCTGTTGAATCAACCACTGTGCATCTGCGTAGCATGTGCATCCTCTCGTGCAGCTGCACGCATGAAGAACAGGTTCAGTGTCGAAACACGACAGCCCTGTACACCGCCAACATCAAATGTGCGGGACTACTTCGAAAAATATTAATCCTCCGCTCCGCCCTAAGAACATCGATCGGTGCCGTCAAAAGGTGACGCATGACTGAGGAAAAATTGTCCCACTGTTGTCAAAAACCACATCGGAGCGGCCTCCCATGTGAACATGGAAACGTGACAACATTCTCCTTTGAGAGAGTGCTGTCTTGTTGTTGTACACGCATCCCCCCCTCTCCCACCTCACAAGCAAAAAACTAAGTTAGGAAAAAGCATAATTTACGATGCCAAATCGTTTTTAACGAGCCGCGGAGCGCGAAGCGCGACATTTTTCCCTTCGTCCCCAGGAGGGAAAAAAAGGCTCTATATATCGGCCAAAGTTGCACCGCGCGATACAGGGGCCCAAAAACTTGATTTCCGGGAAGCCGAAATAACGCACCATTGGGACCAGAACGACATCTGTAGGGCACCGATTGACGATCTGTTCGCTTCTGAGGAAGAAGAAAAATAGCGCGCTCTTTGTCACACTGGTTTGGTCGTGCTCCGATAGCAGATGGCCGTGCTACGCAAGCGTTTGTGGCCTAAATTCGTAGGAGATCGCTGTCCCCAACCCCGGGGTTTCCACGCGAAAAGGGGAACAAAAAACGGAGATCGCGCGCACGCGCGATTTAAACCAACAAAAAACAGAGACAGAAGCGCAACAACCCCACCAAAAACGTACCATCACCGCTGGGATGCTGATCCGAGACCAGCTATGAAAACCAAGAGGGGCCGGGCCTATACGACCTGTGCGCCGTGTGTATAGTCATGCACCATGTGTAACCTCGCGGGTGTTTGTTGATGTTGAGTGTGGGTCCAACCGACTACACCAAAAAGAGCAGACCGATGATCACAAACACACAACATAATACACCTTCCAGATCACACCTACCATCGAGAGAAACCGTCGAGGGCGTGAGGGTCTCCCGCTGTGCGTTATCAGGATGGATCCCTGCGTTATCGGTTCAGGTTGCGTACTTGCGCGGAACTACTGACTGTCTTCACAAAAGCCGTGCCCTCTGCCTGCTGTTGCTGCTGCTGAGCCTCTCGCATCAAAGTCATGACCATCAACGGCTTTGTTGTTTTTGGTTCATGCTGTAGTAATGTCCCGTGATGTACAGTATGTATGTAGACTGTTTGCAATCGCTTTGTGGAAAATCGGAAGGCTTGAGACGAATGTGGCGGGCAAATTGTGAGCCTGAAGCAATGATTGCCACCAGTCACAATCCTATGTCTACGCTGTTGGTCGTGCTCCTCGGCGGTGTGATGTATGTGTGATACGCTCGCCGCCAGGTATTGCCGCATGCGTGCCTCTTCCAGATGTCTGGATGTGCGTGTTTGTATGCGTCCGCACAGCGGGAAGACTTCATATTTTGTTTCTTCGTGGGTGTGTGCATGTGCATCAACGGAAAAGAAACAACCGCATGTAAAATGCAAAATAAATGTTTTAACAGGGGCCGCACATTCAACCATCGTCGCGCCCGTCGCACCCCTGTCCCTCTGGTGTACGCGTTGCTGCACCACAAACGATTCACGCTGCCGTGTGTCGGGATTCGTGCACCATCAGCATCGCAGATAAGACTACTGCAAGGTATTGAGTCGCTACCAAGCGGCTCATTACCCCGCCCTATCCATAATAATAGTAGGCGTCTCTATTCCAACGAGGAATAGACTTGCGTTTCGGAAAATGAGAGAAACGGCCTAATGACCACGAAAAGGCATTGCGCACAAGTACACAAGTACACTCCCCTACCCCCCCAGGACTCGGGCAACTAGGGAAAGCAAGATCTTCAAGATCTATGCCTGGTTCGTGTGTATCTGGTGTGCATTTCTCTCGTCGCGTCTCCCTCACACCGAAAATGTGTAAATAACGACGTCCAGAATATATATGATGACACAACCACACCTCTTCAGGCTTCCCACTGCGCTGAAACACCGCTCCAAGGTTGGAGTACGTAGCAGCCAGGCTAATAGGGTCGTCACGCGCGCGCTCCGCAGCACTCAAAAGAACCTGCGATCGTTGCGGCGTCAACATGGGTAACCATGGTCACGTGGAAGGCGGGATCATTATCGTTACTTCGATGTGGCCACGTTCAATTTCATTCACCAAAACTGGCTTACGTGCTATCTCCTACCAGGTTGAACATATCGTCTTGGGTCTTGGACTTACCACTACTGCTGTATGTATTCGAATGTGGGAAAAGCTATCTCGACGTCCTCGCCAATGCTCAGTGGTACTTTCACAAGCCTCTGTGCGTGCGTTTGATGTCCCGACGTGACTGCTTACCGCTTCTGCTTCCGCCAAGCGGCCACTCTGGAGTAGCTGTGCCCCGAGATTGACTCTCGGGGCAGCGAGGGTTGGTGCCAAGTCGGTAGCCCTTGAGTAGGCAACAATAGCTTTCTCCGTCTCTCCCTGTAAGCATTACCCGCCGTACCGAGTGGAGGTGGGAAACCAGCCACGGGGCGAGGGGAAAGATTGAGGTCTGGACACTGAGGTAATGGCAACATATTAACAGTGGCGACCACGACCGCTTTGCACAGGCAGCATAAACAGTGGAGAAAAGTATACGTAACCGGGGGGTACATATGTTTATTTCTACAGCAGGTAGACTACTGTAGGTATCCATTACAATAGTATGCACACATGGTTCATTGGCTCATTACAACATGGATACTTGTATCCATGTCAACATATCAATGTGGCATGCGATCAAACCTTGGTCTGCCATGCGACGCCGAGGTTGTACGCCGCGTGTGGGTCACCCCCGGCCCGCCGCGCCTCCAGTTCAACCCTCGTCAACACTTCTATCGCTTCGTCAACCTCCCCGGCAGCTAGTAGGGCCGCTCCTAGTCGGCCATGGATGGTGTCGGCGGTGCCTTCAGCGTCCCGCCACAATCCCGCCGTTACCTCTCCCCGTTCTGTCTTATCTGCCGCGTGGCGCAATGCCGTGAGCGCACCAGCGATGTCCCCAGCGTCGGTCAAAATAGCACCAATGCAGGAAGTCGCTGTTGGAAGGTCGGGATCGAGTCGTTCAGCCTCTCGGCAGGCCACGAGAGCTTCCTCTGGTCGACCGGTTGCGAGGAGTGCCAGGCCAAGCCCGTGCTGTGCCTCTCCGTGCTCGCGGTTTGAATCTACGGCGGCAGCGGCGGACGCTGCTACACGGTAGACAAGGGCGGCTTCTTCGTGTTCGCCCCGGGACAGCAGGACGCGACCCAACCCGAGAGCTTGGGCCAGGTCGACGGTTGTTGGCCACGGTGGGGCGGTGCTCGGGCTGCCTGCTAGCTCCTGCTCGCGGTCGATCTTTGTGGCAACGGGAACATGTTGCTGCTGGAGCTGCGGTGAAGGGCTAGCCCACTGCTGGTACAGCAGCGTAGTGAACACGGCCAAGCATGCCGACAGAGCAGATGTGAGCGCAGATTTCAGCATACCATGTGCCCGAGCCAATACTCCCTACAAGAGCAGAGCGGCAGCGAAGTGCACAGCCGAGAGAGCACAACTTGACCCAACTGCAGACTGCTGCAGATGCACAGCCGAGCCCGCACAACCGACCAGCAGCCAGACACAAGCACCAGAACCCCCCCGAAACATACTTCATAGTCACATCAGTGTGCCCCCTCCGCCACATCTCACCGCTGCGCCACAACGTGCACCAACACACCACAACAGCGTGACAAAGTAGGTAGATGCCGCTTACGTGGCCCAAATCCTTGCCGCTCATTTTCATGGCGGCGGCGCCACTCTTCCTTGTGTGGGCTCCGGCGAGAGCTCTGCTTGGAGCAGCTGTTTCCAGGTTGCCATCAAGCACGACTCGGTTGCTCTCATACTCTCAGAACAAGGTGCGGCGGCGCCGGGGTGCTTCAACGGCCTCACGGACGCTCTCATGCAGCAGCAGCAGCAGCAGCAGTACGGCGGTGGAGGATGGAGCCGCGAAAGTGATTGTTATCGCAGGTGCGAACTACTGCGGTAGCAAGAGCTACAGCAGTATTTACGATTTACGATATTCGCTCTGGCATCCCACACAACCATTTTACCATTTTCGGGTGCGGTATGATCACAAGACTGTTGTTTTCAGCCAACGCGATTGCTGCAATCCAAAGGGCCGGTTGCTCGTTGACTATCTTGGGAGGACATGCGCCATTGACTGACTAGGGAATTGGCTGTGATGAAGACGCAAGTGTGCCCCCCGTATTAAATACGGCAGGTCCCACAGCCACTGGGAAGTCATCCATCGCGCTGGCCCTCTGCAGGGATCTTGGTGGAGAGATCGTGTCCTGCGACTCGGTTCAAGTTTATAGAGACGTCTTCATTGGCTGCAACAAGCCGTCGCCAGAGGAGATGAAAGAGGTGCGCCATCACCTCGTGGACGTGGCACCCCTCGACGAAACGTTCACAGCCGGTATGTTGTTATGGTCATGACCGGTACTGCTGTTCACGAACCTCTCTTGTCACCGCGCGCAATCTGTTTGTATTATAGCCGCATCACTGGATGGAGCTTGTATACAAATGTAGCGGCGCTATGCGTATGTCGACGGTTGCTTGGACTGACCAGGCACTGCTGATGCACGAATGACGTTGAGCTGAAGCACATATCCGACCCAGTCGCTTCGTCCGCCTCCCGTATCACCTCACAATACACCAGGTGATTTCGTGCAACGAGCTGAAGCGGCAATAGACGACATCTTGTCGCGTGGGAGAGTGCCGGTGGTGGTTGGGGGCACGATGATGTACCTCCATTGGCTTGTGCATGGCAAACCGGACGCGCCCAAGAAGGTAATGCAACAGAGAAAATGGCAGAGGGAGAGGAGGTGCAATCAAACTGTGTGCACCAGGAAACAAATCTTGTATGTATATGGTACCGAACATGGAAATTAAATTGTGTACCTTCAGAGTAGTTGGCACGTCAGGTCAGCCGCCCTCACCGGGGCCATGATTTTCACCTCCCACGGTTGGGCGCGGCCGGCATTCCTCCCAAGTGCCTGCGCTCCTTTATTTTGCAGTAGTGGCCACTGGAGAATCCAATCTTTCCGCACGACCCGTTGGCGGTTGTGTTTCGGGTGTCATCCTCTTGTTCCGATGCATTTTATGCCTGGTGGTTCTGGGTGAGCAGGATCCCGCGGTGGCGCAGGCGGTGGCGACGGAGCTACTCCCGTTCCATGATCGGGGGGATTGGGATGGCGCTTTGGAGGTGCGACACGCAGTATGAAAGCTGGCGTTTTTTTGTGTTCTCATTCCGCACATTCTCGACATCAGTCTGGCCTCTGTCCTGCGCTCGCTGGATTGGTGCCATTGTCACAAAAGAAAGACTACTGTCAAAAGAAAGACTCCTGTGCGCGAGGCCCCCACTGTCCTGGGGTGTGTATCCCTTACTTCTGTGTCGATTTTTTTTTTTTTCTCTCGTCAGGAGTTCAGTCAAACTACATATCTAGGTACTCACAAACTGTGCTTGTGTCATGAAGGCTATTGTAGGACGTGGTGCAACTTGCGCTACGCGGGGTGAACAAACGAACAGGTCACCGGAATGCACAATAAAGTGTATCATCGGACGCGGGCATGATTCGACAGTATTTGTTTCACTCATTGCTTTCGAACCTACAATCGTTGCATGGAAGTTTTTATGAACCACTTTTTCATTGACGGCGGTTGTGTGGGCCTTGTGCTGCAAGCCTAGAGCGTTGCTGCTGGCTTGTTTCGTCGGCGCAGTTGACCAGGTCCAAAATAGTAGTTTTATTCAGCGCCCGTTCGAACCAAGACTTTCATCATACCTCCCCCGCCCCCCGCCTCCCTCCTTCCCAAGCTCTTGGCAGCGGTGAATTCGAGGCGGGCGGCCTCGATGGCGAAGAATGACTGGTATCGCCTATCCCGTTCTCTCGAGGTGGGTGAAACTTGCACTGACTGCAGCTTGCCGCAACAACACCACGGATGACCAATTGGTCACTGCAAAGAGATTCGTGCTGCGTTTTAGGTGTCCGAGGTACCTTGACAGTATGCCGGAGCGCCCTCGCTCGGGCAGGATGATATCCCGTCCTCTTGCAGTCTAGTTGTTGTGCGGGGCGTTGTTGCTGCTTTACATTTGTAGTCACAACATGAACACACAACCACATCCAAAAAGCACTATACGCAGAGGGATCGGTCTGTCTCTTCGACAGTCGTCGATTTGTACGCACAAACGTTTTGCTTGTCTCTTCCGTTGTCAGCATGTGCGCGCACCGTTGCGAAATGTAGATCAGGCCGAGCCCCGTAGGTTGTGAGAGAGGCACTGGTACAGCAGCACGTCTCTGCAAGAGATGCCTCAGGACTTTTTCCCATGGTCCTATTCAGAGTACAGTCGCACTTACGTGCGCTGCGGTTCTGCCTCTTTCAACTGAATATCTTCACTCCGGGGTCGCTGAGAAAATTCCCTACTGACGGGCAGACCTTCGTTTCAACGGAAGGAGGGTTCAGTTGTTCCTTCCCTCAGGTACACCAAAACTATGTGTTGAGATAGGCACGAAGCTCAATAGGCTTGAACAGTAGGAAGCGTTCTTACATTAGAGAGCAACAGCAAAGTCGCCTCTCACGATGCTCACACCACGTGACGACGGCATCAGGTGCTCCGTGTCCCGAACGACACAGGCGAAGAGGTGTTTACCGGGGTACGAGCGCCCATCAACAAGAAGTACGACTTCCGCTCGTTCTTCATAATCGGAGACAGGGAGCGTCTGTTCAGGCGCATCGACAAGAGGTGAGCGAGCGTTTATCCCCTCTCCTTTGGGCTCTCCGGGTCTTCCGCCTCTGTACCCTCCACCTCCTCAACCTGTTGTGTTCGCAACCAGAGCCCTGTTTTTCTGTCAGCTATGCATGAGTGCCTCCCGTCGTGTTGTGGTGCTGCTGTTCGCCCCTGCGCGCGCCTGCTGAAGTGGAGTGCTGTCTCTAGTCTTTTATTCCCCCGACGAGGCCAAACCTATGTCAGTATTCATGTTTTGAAGCAGCTCTCGTTTGTGAAGTAGATGATGGCCGAGAATTTCATGACCGTGATCTGCCCAAGCATATGTGGTCCTTGGAAGCTGTCCATTTCGAAAAGAGCCCGCGGCACCATCTGCCAATCTCGCGACCTGCTGCTGCATTCTGGATCAGCAAATAGTGTCTCCTCATCACGCGTGCGATGAGTGGGCATGCATGGAAGTTCGCATTGCGATCCGAACCCGCTCGCCTTTCCCGCACTGCCTGCCCCACGTAAAGGTGCGAAGAGATGCTGATGCGGGGGCTCCTCCCAGAAACCGCGGGTCTTCTCGTGAGAGGGATGCTGGACCCCGCTTCCCCCGCAGGCCGGGCGATCGGCTACCGGCAGGCCATCGACTTCCTGCATCAAGAGGCAAGACTAGCGGACGATTTGAGGCCAGCAATCGCCGGCGCCAGCGGTAGCGCCGACGCCAACCGTGAAGCTACAGAGGTAACAGCAACAGCAGCGGCGGACCCCGAGACTAGGTTCCTGGAGTTCTTCCTCACGTTCGCCGCGAAGACGCGGCAGTACTCGGGCGAGCAGATGAAGTGGTTTCGATCGTCCAAGGGCCGTGATTTTTCGTGGCAAGCTTGGGACCTCGGCGGGCCGATTGAAGAGGTACCACGCCGGGCAGGCAGCGGCGAGAAAAGAGGGGGCGGTGCAAAATCTCATGAAGCCGGAAGCTGCGCCAGAGCTGGCGATGGGTGTGGCTGGCGAGACGTCGCGACATCCATAGCGGAACAGTTTGAGTTGCCCAGGGAGAGGTTCGACGAGGATTTGGGGGGAGAGTCCCAAGCCATGTTGCGTAGCGAGAACCGACAGCGTGCGGGGGATATGAAGCGGTACGTCTCGGAGTTGTCGCTGCTCGGGGGCGGCGGTACCGAAAACGAAGCGTTAGGAAGATTGGTTCTCGAAACGGAAGAGCTGGCGGCGAGAATACGGCAGGCGCAGCACGAGCAATTCCGAGATGGGGCTATTACGGAACGTCCGGCAATGGAGGTTCAGGGGTGGCACGCGGGCAACCGCTAGCAAGGATGGTCACTGGGAGTGCTGTTATACTTGTTGCTGGTATGTTCTCTCGACCATCCACAATCTCAAAATCGAGTTGCGTGGGACCTTTGCGTGTTTGGTTTGAGAAGTGCAGACGTGACACGCAGGTGGAGTAAACACGACGGTTGCTACAATAGGAGCAAGTGGTGGAACCCTTTCTTTGACGTTAAGATCATGCGCCCGTCCACGAGGACCAGCTTCTCGGGGGAAAGCGAGACCTGCGAAGAAATCGAGAAGGGCGCAAGAGAAGGTTCGCCGAGCGCTGTCGACCGCACACCATGACCCGAAATAAACAACGGTAAATACCTACAGTATCACCCAACAACGCTCTACCGGTTGTCCACATCATTGGGCATATACATCAGTCTTCAGCAGCTGCGGCAGTCTGTGAACTGTTCTTACCGCCAATGCAACTGCTGCACTACTTTTCACTTTTCACTTACAGCCAAACAACACCCCCAATGTTCGCCTGCACAACATACAGATATTATACGTAAATGCTTTAGACCGTTGAATGGAGACCCAGCCTCCTCCTCCACCCACCGTGCCTTCGCTCGTTGTTGTTATGTCATGCACCACACAGACGAAAGCACCACACGGTCAATGGGTTTCATTCTCAAGCTTCAATGTCAATCATCTTGGAGTTCGTAGGTTTAAAAAAATATATTGGATTCCGAAAGAGTAGAGATCGCGAGCACCGGTAACCTTATAAGAGAAGTTCCATGTACGGATATGTACAGTACCGCCTCAAACTACACCAAGTACATGATGACAATGCCTCTGTTTGGAATGTATGTCACCTCCTCTACGGCAACAAGCAGTAGTCTGAGACTCTGCTTGGCTGTAGCGTTTTACTGCTGTAGACCATGGGTATGTGTGTGTGCATCTACGATGGGCGAGCGCAGCAGCGCGCAACCTTCGACAAACCCAAATCTGGGCATCAGCTTGTTTCGACCGTACTTTGCGCACCACTTAGACTAAGCAACAACACAGATCGTCTCGCCAGCTGTCAGCAGCTGATGTCACGGGTTGTCTTGAAATCAACAACGGAAACCGCTGGTGTTGTGTCTTGTCTACAGCAGTATACGTAGTGATGTCCTCTCTCTCTATCAAACGCTAGGCTTGGCTGGATACACACGTCGGTAACTGCGACGTATCCCCGGTACATATTGCGCTCCATTGCATGTAAAGCTTGATCATTCTGGGCCGAGCTGCACTCGCAACAGCAGTAGGACCTGACGAATACCATGAACGACCGCCTCCAAACATACTTCATATATAGGCAAAACCATTAGATACCCAAAATTTTGGTCTTCTTCAACAAGGGTACAACACGTGTTGCAGAGTGGTCAAATGCGTCGGGTTCAAGTTCCGGTCCTTCGGGTTCGTGGGTTCGACTCCCACCGCGTGTACTTTTTTTCTTCCTTCTTTTTTTTTTACTCCCGATGTCTTCGGCCTCGGTGATGAGGAGGAAGTGAAGTATGCCTTTCATTTTTTGAGAGAACCTCGTTGGCGGCGGAGCACTGACTTTAATGGTAAAACTCCATGTCTTTTGTGTTTATTTTATTTATTTTACTTATTTATTTTGTCAGTAGGCTACGAACCCATCTTCTATCGAAGCAAAAGAGTCTACAAGATAGATAGCAATCAATCAATAAATCCATCGCGTTGTTGGCGAAAGTTCTGTGTTTCCACGGTTTCCCGAGCAGCACACCACTTTTACAACACGATGATGTAACGGAACCCTCCTAATGGACATACTTCACACAACCATGCATAACCTTTTGCAGGTACATGTAGTTCCATGTTTTTTTCCCATGCTCCACGGTGTCGGTTGGTACCTACCCCGGGGTAACGTGTTGTAGACTTTTTGAAACAACACGTTTCTTCGTTTTCGGGCCTATCGGAAAGCGAGGGCGGACTCCCCCTCCAGTCTGAGTAGAGTTTCCGAGATCAGTTTCCGACAGCTGGCTCTAAGTAAGAGACGATTGCATAATCGTTAAATCATCGCGTATTTCGTTCACGAATCAAACGCAATCCTCAGTGCTGAACACGCCCACCACCAACAGTCATTCGGCCTTATTTAGTTTATGCATAGGGGAGAACTTCGATGGTATGCTGTCGGCCTTGCTGCCGATACTATCGCGGGCGCTGTGGGGCATCACTCTTGTGGTGTTGTGATTGCCAGCATTTTTTTGCACTTGAGCCTAGGGGGAAACCCGTCGCCGGGGTGTGATTGCGATGATGATCTGCTACATTGTCCCTTCACTTCTTGAGTCCCTCCCGAAAAGGTCAACTTCAACGAGAAAAACATGACAGACATCGATGCGCACTAAACTAGCGGGGCAAAGCAATTTGAGGGGTTTGCCGATATCATTGCTTTGCTGTTGACGCCAAACAAGCAGCTACCGCCAAGTCGCCGCACACGGTTGCTCCCAAATGCCGCTGGGAAAGATATTACCGACAGGCCAAACCCCGTTGCTGAGTTATCGCATCGCAACGCCTTCGCGCGCGAAAGTGCTTGAATGAGAATCATCAACACGTATGCATAGAACAATCACGAGGCAAACGTGAAATTTCCACATGAAGGACTGGTCAATTTTCGCTCGTTGCTCGAGATCTCATCAAAGGCAACGGCATAAACCGCTTCCTCCTGGCGACGTACGTGTAGCCAAAAGATATTTTCTTGTGATGTAATGCGTCTGTTCCTTGCCGGCCGGCTGGGGAAGGAATGCCAACTACTAAACTTTATAAATTTCGCAAAATTTCTATAACCAAACCTAGGAAATCTAGAAATAAACGACATGGCGATTGTTTTCGAACACGTTCGTTCTTGCGTTCTTTTCTAGACACTGGAGGGCAAAGGCGTGAGGGTACCGGAAACACACGCGTATCCCAGGACGTGCCCCAAACTACACTCCTGTTGCTATCCCCCCCCTCCCTACTCTACCAGACTTGCGTGCATTTCGCACGGAATCGCGACTGCTGTATGTACCACCCAAGAACCACCAAAATAAAGACACACATGCATGGATTGGTCTCTCCAACAATCTATTTGGAGCCAAGGTAGATTAACCGTCTTACTCCCCAACTTTGAAACACGAATGAATATGCCGACCCGAACACAAAGCGCACACAAGCTTTGCGAGGAGCTCCGGTTGTTGAAAAGGGCAGCGTTGGGATTCGTTTTCGCGTGTTTCGATGGGAAAACGTCCAACACGCACAACCCGCAGAGCGGCAACGAACTGGTCCTTGCCTGAGAAGAACGCACTGCTGAATACTGACCGTAAATTCTAGGGCAGTTCTTTCCCGTAAGATTAATTTCGGCAAACGGAACTCTTGCGCGAACCATCACAACGGTATTCGAACTCTGCCGATGCCCGTTGGTAAAACTATTGGCCGGTAAAATTCCGCTACAGCGGCCGAAGCTTGGTTCTTGCTGCGCGGTGACTCACCCCACGTTTCATGCGGGCTTAAGGCGCGTCCTGTTACACCAGCAGCACACAGAGCTAGACCGCAGCACGTTGGCCGGTAGTCTCATTATCTTCTAGCCCCACGTTCCTGGTTATGGGTGCCCTCGTTACCGCGGAGGTTTGGACTAGTAAGCACAAATGGCCGTAGAGAAAATGCGACGAAACAAACGTCATGAATTTCGTGCGCGCCCATACTCCGAAGCTCGCCAGCGGGGAATTCACACCCTCGACACCCCTTACATCGTGAATGGTGTGGAACGCGGCTAGGTTCCTTCACAAACTCAAAAAGACGAAATCCCTCGACCCTCGTACGAGCAACACCTTTATGTACTTGCTTCCCCGCATTATATTTCTGTGCTAAGGTTGGTTCATGGATCTTGCTGCGATGAGGCCCCCACAGCAGTTCTTTGTCGACGTCGTAGCAAGAAGAGTCGTTCGAAGCACTGGGGGAAGGGATCGAGGTCGAGGATGTTTTCTACGTCCCACTCCGCATCCAGGCCATCGAAGAATTCGTCGCTTGCGTTGGCTCCACCCCTCCCCTCCCCAACGTAAACTAAGGTATCTCCTCTATACTCATGTAGGCACCGCAAGGCCATGTCTCCAGGCGGGGGGTATACCAGGAGCAGGCTGATTGCAGCGTAACAACAGTACGACGAGAAAAAGAGGCAGGGGGTCGACGGATTAAAGTTTAGGCAAGCAAATGTACGGTCGCTGTTCGGGCGGAGAAAAACTACTCAACATAGATGCGGCGGTTGTGAGCGGTTTGGATAGAGTCTGCGTGTACTGCCCAAATATTGCACAATGACGCCCGGCACCCTCCCGCACTACCGCTTAACCGGATTCGGTTTAGCCGGATAACCGGTTTTATGCCGGTTCACTTGTTTTGCGCTGCGGCCATGCGACTTAGAGCATATATGCACATAGAGAATAGTTGGAGCATGCACCGCACTAAACTAGTTTGGATAATCAAAAACATTAAGGCGTTAGACAAACTCGAAAACCTGATATAATTGACAGGAGCGCAATATTGAATGAAATATATGCATGATGCGGAAGGCTTGCCGCGGGTCAGCTATCTAGTAAAATCCTTGAAATGCTTTACTGGTAATAAGATACCTCCGTGAGACAAGTCTGAACTGTGGTTGTTGTTGAATCGCACTCGATATTCCACGGCGGCGGCAGGCGACGGCTACTCACTCCATTTTTTTGCAACTACAAGTACTATACTAACGACAGGCGGGAATGCACCAAGCAAGTTCTCATCATGAGGAAAGAGTCTGCAACGGTTGAAAGACTGGAGGTGGACACCATAAACAACCCGCCTCCTTTTTTATCGCGTTCTTGGCAATCTAGCAGCCATGTTCGGAAAATGTTCAAAAGAACAAAAATATTACTTGCGTAGGCTAACGGTACTACTCACGTCTTATCACGGTGGAGGCGAAGGGCATGCTCATCCCCAGGTAGCACTCTCCCGATTTGGGGCATGCCTGCCGTCGTGCCCCTCTCGTTGCCGCTCGAGGGGGTCGTCGCCCATTTATCGAAGGAGATCACCGTGGCTCCCGCTTCGGATAACCCGCGCTGCCAGTGACCCCTGCCCGCGCCGATCTCGACCAACGGGGACAACGCGGACATCAATCGAATGGCCTCCGGGGTGTATCGGCAGTTCCCGTGTTCGGCTTCGTATCGACGACGAGCATCTGGAGGGTCAGACACGCCAAAGATAATCCGGTGGGTCGCCAGCTCGACCTCGTCGTTGAAGACCGACATGCGCTTGTCGTACTCCTCTCGGGTCACCTAAGAGGAGCATGTGCGTGCACCAGTGTTCAAACACTGAATCGTAAGTTGACCGCAAACCGGGTGGAGGCGGCGGGTGGCATAGGCAGAGAAGCGCAGCGACAATCTCGGGAGCGGCGGCTGGTGAAATCACATCGTCGTTGAACTTGTGGTGGGGTCGTTGGCAGTAAAAAAAAGTGGGTGGTATCAGAGAATGAACTTCTGACCGTATGAACTGTTGTACCACCTGGCGGATTGAAGCGCAACAAAGGGTCACTTAGCATAGAAACAGCAGTGCCCGCCCGCCCTACCGTGGAGGTGACACAAGATATCACACCCTCGGATCAATTTCCAATTTCAAAGGACGATTACGCCACGACGAAGAGAATGCCACAACTCATTCTGTTCTCGGGAAACTCGGGAAGCTCTCGATGGGACGGTTCCAACGCCGCCACTTTCGGCACCGCTACTCTCTCCCGCTGTGGAGCAATCGAGCGTTGAAAACTGGTCCAGGGGGTGTGATATCTTCGGTCACCTTCTACTAGCCCATTATGTACTAACGGGCGATCTCACCTCCCCCTTCCTAAGCCCTGCCATCAGCTCTTGAACCGGCATTCGCATCTTGGCGAGGTAATTTCTCATCTGCACTTCGGCCTTGGCCCTCTGCTTCTTCGCCTGTCGTGGAATTGTATTGCTGAACGGAGACGAAGGCTGCCTCTTGCTGAAGGGCCACCAGCCCGCTTCGGCTGGCGAATCCGTGGAGACCGAGCACAGGGCCACTGCCAGCAGGATGGACGCTCCCGGGGCAAGTGGCATCGAGTCCCAGCCGCCAGAGGGTCTTCTCCTACTGCTGTTGTTCCGATGATAACGTTGAGGTGTTACTGCCGTAGTCGACCGCAGGCCTGGCTGGCTGGCTGCTGGAGGCAACCTTCGGCACATCGACGCCGGAAGTTGTCGAAGCGCTGGTCTCACCAATGCTCCGCTCATGTTCTTTCGCCGTTTTCTTTGCTCCGCAAACGCTGCTGCTCCGATGCTTAAACTCGCACTTGTCCCTGCCGGCCACACCTCAGTAGTCTCAGGGACAGAGAATTGGTTCAGCACAATACACGTCAAGTCTGCTGGTACGAGACTGATGCTGTGGTGTGGCATGTCCGGTCGCTGACTCTTTCATGCACCCCCTCTCCACGGCTTGTTGCGATTTGCGTGCCCCCAGCGTCCGGCGCGCTGGTGCGCTTGACTGCTGTGGTAGCAAGACGAAACCAACAGGTGCCACCCCATAGACATCATGCCTTCTTCTCTTGCGAAAGCGTTGGTTACGTCCGGCGCGGTGTTGGTGACCTCGCCTTGCTCGCTAGTCTCTGCATTTGTTGCTCCTGCCGGAGGCCTCCCGCGTGCGGGTCCCGGGTCCTCGGCCGCGGCAGCAGCTGCCAGGACTCCCGTCGTTGGGAGGACGCCTCATGTTCTCATGAGGTGAGCGAAGGGCCGAAATGCCAGGGTCAGAGGTATAGAACTGGTGGGAAAGCTTCAGGAAGATGGGATGCTCCGTTACTCTGGACTCTGTGTTTCAGGTTGATGCCGACAGCGGCACACAACCAGCATGTGTGTCATGATCATGCACGCGGGACATTTTGCTTCGAAACGAGTTTGTGGGCAAACCTAGCGCTGTACCTACGTGTAGTCGTGAATGGATCGCTCCCCCTGCTTGTCTTGGCTGTTTTGGTGGTGGTGGGTCGATGTTTTGACCGTCTGGTACCTCTTCAGATTACGTCGGTGCGTGTCTGGCTTCCTCTGAGTCTTGTGAGAATGGTCTTCTCCGACAAAGCAAAGCACACGTGTAGTGCTGTAGGTCGCTGCTGTACAACGTTGCTCTTCCATCATGTTCATACAACACATGCACACACCTTGATCGCTCGCTTTTCTACCGTTTTGGCCTTTTGCCTAGCTTTGCCATTTATGGTTTGAACATCGGTGTTGCGTTGGCCAGTTGTTGCAGATACGGTACAACCGGTTACAGGAGTGTCAGACATACAGCAATGTTTTGTGTAAGCGGTGTAATACCGGCGCTCTTTCCAGCTTCCAAAGATCATTTTCACCTTTGTTGCTTTTGCTCCAGTTTCAGGAAGATCAGGTTCACCGTTGTGTTGCTTTTGCAAGCAAGATTCGCGCTGGCTTAACTTCTGTGCGCATAGACTGGTGCTGTGCCTGTAAATGTGTACGTAGTTTGGCACCTGTCGCTGAGGCTGAATACTTCTGTTGTGCAATGTTTGAATTCCTCATTTGGTGTGGCACAGGTGAACCCAGCTGGCTTCCTACAAACACGGCGATTGAGATTTTGCACCTTTAAATTACATACAACGTGTCGCTGTTTTGCGACTGATACTGCGGTGCTATGCATAGCTCCTCCTTTGACGTCGATTTCAACCCCAACGGAAAAAAAAGCAGCACCCTCGTGGACAAAGACAAAGAGGAGGTGACGGAGTACTTCAACAACAACGGGTTTGAACGGTGGAACAAGATCTACTCCGAGTCGGACGAGGTCAACGACGTGCAGCGAGACATCCGCACCGGCCACGGCCAGACCATCGACAAGGTCAGTACCCTTCTTGCCTTTCTCACATGGACGGAAACCTCTGGCACCACGTGAAACCCAAGGTGCTTCTACAGCTGTCTGGCTACCATGGCAGTATTGCAGAAACGTGCTTGCAGCAGCGTTGGAAGGTCACTACATCAGGGCTTTAAGAGCTTTTGCCTGGGGCAGGCACAAATGCTTGGTATAACTCAGCTACACACGAAAAGTACTGAGGGAGTGCATACTGCTGTGTAGCAGGCGCGAAGAAATGGCACGTACTTTCGATGAGACGAGTGAACCCAACCATCGGGTGGAGTTGAAATCAAGCGCGCGGTGGCGTCGGCGGCCACTCCTGTGCACCGTGCTTCGAATCATCTATCCTCCCCAAGATCTCCACCCCTCTCCGTCCCCTTCACTCTGCGAAAACCTCCCTTTCCCTCCGCCTGTACATGCCGATATAACGACACCAGGTATTGCGATGGGTGGAAGAAGACGGAAGCGCCAAAAGCGTCTTCTGCGATGCTGGTTGCGGAGGTGAGTAGGTGGTCACAGCAGTGCCCCTCTTTTCACGTAATCATTCGAAAGCAAAAATGCCAAGATGATGGACCGCACAATTAAGATTCGGCTCTGGGGAATTTTCGCGCTATTGTACAATCACTGTCCTTGGGGGGGGGAGACTCGTGTTTTGCATCCTCACCTGTTCAGGCCTTTGGCTACACGTCCTCGAGAGGACGAAGCTTTGTGCCCGCAGGACCGATCGCCGATATCTAAGGCGCCGAAGGCGGCTCATCAATGTTTGCCCTTTCTTGTGTACACCACTTCTTGTACCCCAGTATCGCTACCGTCTTCTCCTAGCTGTTCCATGCCGCGAATCGCTCTCCGTGGCGTCCTTCTATGTTCCTTTTCTCAATCATGTACAGCAGTTCTCTCTCCTTTCCGTAAAACGGATATTCCACAATAGCAATAAACGCGGTAGTCGCACTCGGAGTTGCTTTGACAAATCTTCCTAGATCTTCGTCTGCATGTTCTCGAAGGGCAATGCCTCCAGCCCTATTTGTTTGCCACGATAGCGAAGGCACTGTCGCCGAGATATTGGGAGGGCTAAAGGCAGGCAGTTCGACCGCATGAACAGTTCCGATCATGTCCACGGGTGTATACCAAGGTCGTGGGCTTTTGTGCTCTACCCGCTCGATGTACGTAGCCGAGGCACACACAGCTATGTTGTGCGGATATGGACACCCAACTTCCTTGGCAATCTTCGATGCTGTCTGGCGTACGTGCCCTCCACAACAAGACGAAAGATTGACCCCCTCACCCACTCTGCGCTCGCAGTTGGTTCGCTCTCGATCCCGCTGGCAAGGCTCGGAGCCAAGGTCGCTTCGTCCGACATCTCGGCGGCCATGACTGGGGAGGCCGAGGAAAGGGCGAAGGTAGGCAAAAGCGTACGATTTGACTTTCGGGATGGCCTGTGCTACATCTGTGCTTGCCGCGGCTTGGGCGGTTGTTGTCTGATACGATGTGTTCGGATAGTGTGGAAGAAAGAGCGTTGCAGCAGCGGGCGATATTTGCTTTGTTGTAACTCTGGCAGCTCGCATTGTTTCAAACCATAGCCCGGCAGTAGGTCGTAGATTGGGCGATCCTAAGGCTCACCCGGGTGTGGGTAGGCCCTTCGCGTGTCGGCGTACAAGTGTGGTCATTTACCTGTATCGGACCCTCGAATGTGTCACGTGTTTTCCATTTCTATCGCCCGAGGGATTGGTATGCAAGACGGTAGGTTTTGGTAACGGTTCGACGTTGCAGCAGCAGCTTGCCATTTTGGACTGCTGCCGCCCTGGTAACTCAGGAGAGTGCTCAATTTCCGTTTGATGCGTGTATGCACTTGTGCCAAAACTCGCGTGGAACAGGCCGAGCTGGGGAGGGACGCGAAGCGGATAAGCTTCACTACCTCGGACCTGGAGAACCTCACGGGCAGTTACGACACCGTTCTCTGCATTGACGTCATGATCCACTACCCCACGGAAAAGGTAAGGGGAGTAAGCACGTCCCTACCAACTGCTTCACCCACTGTACTCAGCAACGAACCCGCCGAACAATCGCCGCCGGAGGCACAACTTTACTGCCGTTATCAGGTGTTGCGCACATCGAGGGTTTTCACTTTCTCTCCCCTTTGCTGTCCTGACTTCGCTCCCTTGTGCGCGCTCCCTGCGGCGATGAGACCCGCTGACTTCATTTATTCCTGCCTTCCTACCCCAATTCCAATCCATGGAATCCCTCGCTTCTCCTTAGATGTCGGACATGGTTAGCAAGCTATGCAGCATGTCTAAGAACCGGGTGATCCTGTCCTTCGCGCCGGACACTTGGTACTACTCTCTTCTCAAGAAGGTCAGTCGGGGCCACACGCATGCGAAGATTCCGGCTATTCCTCTGCAGACCTTTCTATGTTTAGGTGCCATGATTGCTTACAAGAAGAAATGATTTGGTTGCCCAATTTTTTTCAGCTCGAACCCTGTCGTGATTCACCACCGAAGTACAGCTTCACCTTTGGGCGCATTCGTCACCCTCTGTAAAAATTATCCTCTGCTATGGTAGGAGATAGGCTGGGGACCGTGCTAACCAAATCACTTGAAAACGGGAATAGGCGCGGCTGGGTTGCTGAAGAAATTGTCCATCTGTCGTCTGTGTCTTCATTTTTTATCGTCTCTAAAACTACGCTTCTTGTGCGCACGATTTTTGCCTGCGTCCCCCGTCCATTGCTCTCAACAAAAGATTGGGGAGCTTTTCCCTGGCCCCTCGAAGACCACTAGGGCGTACCTGCACACGGAAGAGGCGGTCAGGAAGGCTTTGGCGGCGGAAGGCTTCGCCATCAAGAGAACAGAGATGACTTCGACCAACTTCTACTACTCCCGCATGCTGGAGGCTGTTCGGGAGTAGACGCTGCCATCAACAGCTACTGGGCGGCACAGAACGGACGCAAGCAAAAATGATGGCAAGCTCGGGGGAAAGGACGGAGCCGTCAAGAGGACGCGCAGCAGCGTGTGTGCTAGTTTGGCTACTACGCCATGTGTAGGGCGCGTACGGAGTACTTTCGAGGGTTAGACTAGTTTAGTCCAAGAGTGACTTGTCTTGCGCGTAGAGGAGTGGGCGAGGTACGACGAAGAATGGAGGTGGCTTGAACTGGTCGCCAGTGGTGAGAGAACTAGCACTGTTGGCACCGGCTCTGTTACGATTGTTCGCTGTGATGGGACGGAATGATAACGATGCGTGTAGAAGGGATTTTATTGAGCCGCAACTCGTTTGCATTGAAGGTTGCCGCAGAGCCTTCAGGCGTTTGTTTTGAGGAGTGTCATGTTCCACATTTGAGGAATATCTGGAGGGCGACTACAACACCCGTGATTCATGGTCGATTTGTCAGCAGCGGACGCCTTGCTTGCTTTCATGTACTTTTCCCGAAACCCCAACACCCTAATTTTGTGAGCGCATCAGGGGAGGGTGGGGTAGAGTTTTTTTGGTTGGCGAGGGACTGGCCTAACCTTGTAGCCATGGTCTCCCAGATGCAGTTTTGGCAAGTAGAGTGAAGGTGACCCAAGTGGAGTGAAAGCACATCACAGTTCTCCAGAGGCGAGCTGTGTTTTTGTCATTCAGACAGGGCGGCATTTCCAAGCGCACGGTGTCCCGAGTTTGTTTAGGACACGAGCCAACAAAGGCGAAACCTTGACGCCGTATGGCCACCGCGCACATGCAGAGTACGCCTTGCAACTCCGGAAAGAAGCTGCGGATTCCCACATCTGTGTAGGCTCGCAGTCATTTGTGGTGGCCGGCTTCAAAGGAGCACATCGTTCCGCTCGGGCAGACAAAAGAAGAAAAGTGCCTTTGTGCAGATGCGATGATGGCGATCGTGCGTGGTACCCAAAGCGCAGCTTGTCGACACTTTGTCTTCGGGAACCATCACCCCCGTTTTCGGCGAGAGCAAGCAACACGTGAACTACAGTATTAAGACTTCGAACATTTTCTATCAAAAGTCCGACGTGTGCGGATGTCGTCCGCCAACCAAGGCGGGAACCGTATTACCTACAGGTGTGCATCACATACGATTCGCCGAACACACAGCAGACGACGACATTGATGCGCGAAACCCAGTGTTGGAGTGCAAACGCACCACAGAGTTTGCCACTCAAAATCAAGCGACGAAAAAGCGTTCTTTGACACAGAAAATAAGACAAAACAGGAGACCTCGTTCCCGTTCTCGACCGACTGCCATCACGAAGCCACCTCGCGGTCTCGCGACAACCGATTAATTCTGCTGATGTCGGGCCTCAGCTTGACGAGCTTTGTCCCAACGTTCATGATGCAGTAGGGCGACAGAGGGTTTCTGGCGTAGTAGTCTTGGTGGACCTGTCATCGCATCCAGACAAGGTGAAGCCAAGGGGTAAGAGAAGAGAAAGAGAGCGATAGACGAAAGACAGAGAGGGGTGCTGAAGCACATAATCTGGGGTGATATCACACGTAGTATTACAACAATTCGGGAGGGGAGGCTGCATAGCAAGCATCCTGGCGAGATCGCTCTGTTCAACCGCCGTACTCAACATGTCGGCTGAGTTTAGAAGCGACCGGAACACAGCGGGAAATCCTGTGTGGACGCTCTGTGTGTCGGAAGACACGATTCAAAGTCCGTTTACCAAGGATTAAACAGCGCTCCAGGAAGTGTTGCAGTTCAAGGCGGCGCTATCGCCACTCCCCCGCCCTCTATTCCCCACCCCTGCCCCCCAACGCCGATGCGGGAACTATACCGCGCGAACAAAGGGCGTTGCTTTCTATGCCAAAGCCAGCAGTCCGACAACGACAGCAAGTGGGTAAAAACTAGATCAAGCCCCGCGTTTCAGATCACAATCCACTCGACTTTCGCTCCGGGAGCGACGATCAAACCAATAGATACTTCGCCTTGCGCGATCTTCCTCTACGCGTTCAAAGTTTGAACAGCAGCGGTCTGCCTCTCGCATTCCTCGACTTTTCCTTGCCTTTTCGGCTTCCCAGAAGACTTGAAGCAGGTCGATCGTCGTCGTAATGTTGACGATGTTTTCACCCTCCTTCTTGCCCGTGACGGCACCTACCACCCTCCCCAAGACCGCCTCCGCGTTGATTTTTGCCTGTCGTTTATCCCGACAACACAACAGGGGATTGAATTACCGAGAACGGCAAGCAGCAGCAGCAGCAGCCACTGGGGCAAACAAGAACGGCAGGCTAACAATGCTTTTAGGCGCTATCCTCAACAACGGCCTAACGACATCGGTTTCATCTCTGTGGGGAAGCAACGGGCAGATGCGCCAGCTCGATCGTCGTTCTTGCAAATAAAAGGGTATCCATACACATGATTATACTAAATAGGAAGAATACGAGACATTGTATCCTACGTGTCGAGTGCACAAACAATGAGTCTGTATTCAAAAACTAACAACCATTTTGCACTTGCTTCGCCGATAATGTCGGGGACGTGCTTAGTACCAGCGATCTTCGGCGCAACCTGGAAGCTTCGGGGAGCTGATTTACGCAAGAACACACGCAAAGGTCCCGTCCCTGAAGGACTTGTGCAGATGCTTCCGTACGCCCGCCGACCTCCCTGTCGTATCCATGTGTTAATTTGTCCGCCAAGCACAGCAGTGTGTCAAATACCTGCTTTGCTTCTCGCGACGCCACGGCCATGTCCAGCTGCTCCTCGTCCTCGCACAAGATGATGCTTCGGTACTCGGTGCCAATGTCCATTCCCTGTCGGTTTCCCTGCGAGCATGCCAACCAAAAGCAAGGATATCACACAGCGAGTCGGCGTGAGTGGTCCGATGGCGAAAAACAAGAAAAGTTCACGTCGCGTTGTTGCGGCTCTTTCAAGACGCCTACACAAGCATACGTTGAAAAAGCTTCAAAGGCACATGGCGCGCCGAGCGGTGAAAACCAAAAGCCGCGGTCAATCTCGTATCTACCTGTGTGGGGTCGTGGGTCTTCCAAAACACCTCCAGCAATTCGTCGAACGTAACGACCGTGGGGTCGTACTCCAGCAGCACTACTTCCGCGTGCCCCGTCCGTCCCGAACAAACGTCCTGCGGGCGGGATATTTCAAAAATTAAGAAACGTGCGGAGTGCAAAGACAGGCGAAGACAAGATAATCAACCTATTTCTGTCAGGTGCATACTCTTGCTTTGTCGCGGCACTTCCGGCTTGACCCCCGATGTGGAATAGGCGAGTGCAAGGAAACTAGCTACCGGAAGTGCACATCTAGCAAGTAAGAAAAAGCAAATGTCGATTACTTCGTGCAAGCATGGATTTGGTGAAAGCCTCAGCAAACGGGTCCGTGTGTAGAACTTACCCGATACGTGGGATTTTCCATGGTCCCGCCCGCGTATCCCGACACCACCTTCGACACTCCGTCGAGGGTCTTGAACACAGCTTCGATACACCTTTTGCGCAAAATCGCGATTGCAAGAGGACGAAGATAAATGCTTACTTCGAAGAGGGCCGTTGCGGCAATGAAAACGGTACTCAATGCCAGCGACGCTTGGTTGTATGTGATTCAGTGGCAATGTATTTGTGCACACCCCCATGTGCGATAGCAATAGATAGCAAGAGTGCGATTTCGACGCCTTCCATCACAAGAGATAATTAATGCGGAGCAGAGTGGTCCATGGTCGGGACAATTTGAAAGGATTGCTGCCTGTGGGGCAACCCGGAAAAACAAACGCCGCACGCAGCAGTAGCTGCAGACACAGGATGGAAAATACCTAGTTCCTGTAACGCCACGGAAGCTTCACTGTACGGACTTCAACCCATACCCTTGCGTCCCCTCTCATGTGTCGAATACTCGTGCCCTCGGTGGAATGTGTGCTGCGCAAGAAGACGTAACATGAACACTGAGGACACGAAAGGCAGGGCTCGCTCTCCCCCCATCTCTCTCTGCTACCATCTATCCCAAAACGCGAGAAATATTTGACATCCGACGCAGTAAAGACACCTTCAGGACCCCCCATGACTTTTCTCGACGGGTCCTCGGAGAGCAAAATAAAGCTTCAGGACGGCCTGGACAGCCTGTCTCTGCAGTTACAGAACAAGTACCAAGGACAGCAGCAGGTTGGAGAACATGTCACCTGGAGAGAAAGACGCACTGCGACTTAGTTGCGACCTAGAGATCGACTTATGAGTGCTCCATGCACTATACTTGCCGACCTCTAGACACTCATACAGCACCTGCTCACCAGAAACACCCTCCACCGAAGACGGCCTTCTTCTCGGTCGCCATGACGGTAGCGGCGGCACTGCTGCAGGGCCTGTACGCTACTCCCTGTCGTCGGGATCGAACCGCATCGCTGGTGCCGCGGTCGGTGGTGGCGAAGCTGCTCTTGCTTAACCCTGGCGACGACACGAAGGCCCCGGTGCGAGAGAGCAGAGCGAAAAGAGCGGCCATCACCGGAAGAGTCTTCGTCATCGCGCCTGTAGCACACCGATACAGCAGAGGTGGACTTGTGAGATGACGTTTGCGATGATGCGGCGGAGTCAAAAGAGGTTTCAAGGAGGCGTGGTCCGAGACTGTGAGAATCTGAGCAAAAAAAAAAACGTTGACAATTGTTCGTTATCCTCCGCATCCCGCATGTCTTCTCATTACAGTATCTTCTCTCTCTCTCTTTCTCACACACGCACTCCCCCCCCCCCCCTGCTGTATACGATGCTGCTGCTGTGCCTGGCTCGAAACTCGCGACGAAATGGACAGCGACAGCAATCTGGAAGATGAGCTAGAGGAGGAATTGTTCCTGGATCCCGAGCAGATCCCGCCATCGCTGTCGACCCCTCGGCAACGGCTGGAGGATGCGAGGGCTACGGCTCGCGCATCGATTGGGTGCTGCTCCGCCGACGATGCAAGAGGAGAGGCGAACACGTACACCGCTCTAGATGGCGATACCGGCTGGAGTCATAATTGTTCGTTGTTGGCCGAGGAAGACTCGTCAATGAGCCTTCTTTTGCAGGTGTGGTGGTAGACTGTACATATATGACTATCAGACTTTTGCTTGCGGTCATTCATGTTTGCACGCAGCACGTGAGCACCGCCTAGAATGGGCACTTCGGGCGGTCAGCGCACCTGACAGCTCATCAAATATCACCGTACTTGGGCTGCTTTGGCAGAGACTTTCCAGTGACGGGGCGGGCAATGGGGAGCGGGAGTGCTTCGACGAGATCAGCACCGAGAGCCAGCGTACCCTCGCAGAGATGAACGAGACCCTAGGATCCCTTCGCCGGTGGCGAAAGCAGCGCGATATCGATCCAAGGACCACCGATCCTGAATGCGCACCAAACAACTCGACCCCTCATTGGCACTGTTCGTCGCCGGAGACGATGACATATTGGCCGAGGAGGGACATCAACGGCAACTTCGCGTCACCGTCGCTGCATGATGTTGCTGACGCCGACTCTTCTTGTGGCGTAGAAACCAGAAAACAGAAGTTGTCTGGGGAAGAGGTCGTCGGTGGTGCACAGGATCCTCTTGTTGCTCTGTGGCAGGTAATGTTGTAGGTGTTGTAGGTGATGGTCTGTCCAACGGTGGTACAATACTGCACAGAGGTTAGCCGCTGCTGATGCTGCAGAATTGGCGGGCATACACAAACGCGTAGCTATCCGCTTCCGTGTGTTAGACTACATAGAACCCCAGCTCACCCTTTCTAGCGACATCGTGGCAATGGCTCATGTACAGGGAAGAAACAGCAGGGTCAGGCTGTCTTACAGCCAGAGCTAATTGCCCTCCAGGAAGAACGGCGGGAAACGCCCCCCAGCTTCATTGTCTTTGTCCCTGAAACATCGTAGGCGAGGCACCGAATCTTGCCAGTCTACTCTGACGTCTCTTGACAGGGGGCGCCGCCAACATCAAAAGTCTCCCATTACAAGAGCTACAAATCACAGACCAACAGTTGACGTCTACAGTAGCAGGGAGGAAGCTCTTTCGTTGCTTGCACAGTTCTTGGTCCTTCTACCGAACAACCCAGTTGCATGCCCAGCAGCAGCATAATATGTTATGTCGTTGAATGTCCAACGCCGCCTGCTGCAACCGATGAACTTGTAGGAGCACCATCTTCGGGCGCAACAGGCGGTTGGGAGACTCCAAGAGCAGCTAAAGCACAATATCATCACCTACCCCGCATCACAACGAAGGGACAGCAGTACGACCATTGCCGCTGCCGAGGTTGTCGGTGACGGCAAAACAGAGGCCAATGCTGTGGGGAAAGCACGCAAAGGAGCGTTTCCTATTCAGGGTTTACTGGTCAGTGGAGGAAAGTGTGAGTTGCCCTCGAAGTCTTCCCCCAGCAGCAATGGTGGTGGCGGTGAGAGGAGCAGCACCGAGGACCGGGTGTCAGAGCTCCGTCGAGACGTCGACGGCCTCCAGATGAACCAATGGATCCAGCACACGAGAACTAAGGCGTGCGATCGCGCGGAGGCTCTTGCCCGCGAGGCGTGCGACGACATCTGGCGGGGCACCGGATCTGTTGCGGTCGGGCGAATGGAGGGAGAGCTCGACAGCTTTGCAAAAGACCTCGATGTCCTGCTGCTGAGGTTGGGTCTTGACGGCGGCGATGATCGTGGCGATGAACTAGGACAAGAAATAAAAGATGTAGGAAGCGTCGTGGGTGATGCCATTATGGCAGAGCAGCATCTGGGTGAAGATGAGGAGGAGCGGCGTGCTCCCGTGGCAGATGCACACGTCGGCCACCGGGCAGCAGCAGAGTCGAGTGAACAACAACGATGATGATGACGATATCAGTACAAGTATTGGGAAACTGTGGTGCTGCCGTGTACGGTTTTGTGTAGCCGAGATCCGTGGCGTTGCCCCAACATACATGCCGTGCTCCCACGAACCCCCCCCCCCCCCTCCCCGCCGACTCTTGGAGCCCACCTTCTTCCCCGAACAAATTCCCAAGCCAAACTTGAGCAGATTTTCCCAGTGGTGACTCGTTGACAGATAATCTAAAACGACAACATCTTGACGACTTGCCCACAGGGCGTGATTGTCCCCAAACTGTGTTGTCAACATTCCCGCGAATACAATGTGTCGTGTCGAGGCTTGAAGCCAAAAAATCCAGCACGACCACTCAATGTGGTGAATGTTTTGGTCGAATATGCTGGCTTGGCTCGAAAATGCGGGCGGAGAATGAGGGGGAGGTTCGCAGATGTCAGCGTGGATCTCTTGACACCGCCAGTTGGTATTGTACACTACAACTCCGACATTCGTGTTGGGCCCTCGACACATATATGAGCTCATCGACTGCTCATGCACCTCATGCTATCTTCCCCCGCCCTAAGGGTAGCTGCCGCCACACAACAAGCGAGATAGAACAAGTAGTGCGGTGCAGCTCAGTTCATCATCCTTGATGATACGGGAAGAAAGAGTCGATGCTTGAAGGATGAACCAGGATGACGGCAGACACTCATGAGCTAGTCGCCCTGGTGTTTCAGTTGGTCCTCTCTCCCTCCCGTAGTTAGTCACAGATCAACTACGCTGTACCCCACAGGGTACACACTTCTGTAGGAAACCGATGGAAGCTCAAAAGGGCCCAGAAATAATCAACGTAGTAGTCGCGTCGAGCACAAAGCAAAGTGGTTCAGAGGAAATTAAAGTAAGATATTTTGGCCGCAACAGATGCTGAGCCGCTGAAGGAGTGCTACTTCTCTGCCGCCGAGAATACCATGGGGGGAACACATTACAATCACCATCGACTGCGCTGGGAGCCACAGCGTGCATCATTAATCTTGAGCATGCACGAACTCCCTCGCGAAAGCATGCATGACCCGTGCGCAAGTAAAATCTGCTGCTCCTTTCGGATGGATCCAAATATGTTTGGGAAAAAAATGGAATCGATCGCGATTGTATCGAAGTGCGTTTTGAAATCATCCGAAGGCAGAGCTACGTACAAGATTGTGTCGCTTGTACGGATCCGCTGAACGTGAAAAAATATCATTGCCCAGCTTGGCGGCGGTAAAGGCATTTGCGGGTGAGATCCCAACGGCCCGTATCGGTGGTTCGAGGACAGGTACATTCAAGGGAGGCGCAACGAAGTACGAGCGGGACCACAGGCCGGTGCAGGCAGGCCTCACTGAATCCTGTGCTTCCATCATGCGGTCCTCGGGATGGTCAGGACTTTTTGTACAAGGGCACAGTAGTAGCGGTTGAACGTGTTGCCCGCGTGGGCAAACACAGGGAACATCCGAATACAAGTAGCCCTTCTTTGTCAAGTATTTGCTCACCGGTTTTGCGACTTTCTTACCTCGTGCAATATGTGGTGACGAGTTCATGAGACAGCTGCGTGTTGCACTTACTTAATACTTTCTGCTGCCGATCACACCCAAAGCACAGACAACACTATTGTAGCTTGATAGGGCGTCCCCGTCGCCACTTGCGCCACGAACGAAGCCGGCTGTGGCGTGGAGCCCCATCGTCGACTGCCACACCTTCGGGCTATGGTAAGTATCTGGCACGTCGCGGCCTGAGTACCCTATTGATAGAGCATTGGTGGCCGAGTCGAGCGAACCAGATGAGAAGGCCGTCCCGGGCCACCTACCGCCGGATTGAGTGGTGCGAAACACCTGCTCGGGGTGAAAGAAAGGGCACACAGGAAATAAATGTTGTAGGGTCGCAATATTTCGTTTCGTCCGCCCATCGTGGCGGAAAGAGGATATCCCGCCAGGGAAAACTCGAGATTCTTTCTGGCGAGTGGGCTGTAAGAAGAGACCGTGGTCGTCCACGCAAACAAGAAAAATAAAAAAGAAGAGAAAGAGGGAAAGGAGCGATGGTTGTGCGAGAGCGGAATACACCGCGAGAGAAGGAAGACAGAGAGAAAGAGAGAGAGAGACACACACACACAGAGAGAGAGAGAGAGAGAGAGAGAGAGAGAGAGAGAGACAAAGGAGGAACGCCAACCCTTGCCGTTGCTTGTTGGTCCTTTCTACGTCAACGCTCACATCTCGGCGGGGTTGTGGGTGTTTTCGGTGCCAGCCTTCTTGCAGGATGGGCACACGATAACGAAGCCCTCCGACGTCCTTTCGAGCTTCTCGTGCTTCCTCCACCACATGTCGCCGCCATAGGAGACAGGAGTGGGGGTGCCAGGGATGCTCTATAATTGTAATGCGAATGTGCAACACAACTTTGTTCAGTCGGGCATTTGGCGCAAAAGGTGACGGCAATGGTGGGCGAGCGCGTTGTTCACACGGACGAACACGTGCAACGGCCGACAACATACCCTTGGGTGCGATTGTCGTGCTCGCATCGATACTCGAGGAGAACCACACACAATTACTCTTTCTTTTGCAACTCGGCTCTCGTAGAAGTCTCGAGTAGGTGTTTCCCTCCACCCCACCCGGCGGTACGTCGCCAAGATGGAGTACTCGCTGGTGTCGCGCAGCGTGGGGATCAGCGCTCTCGGTCACACCGACGGAGACAAGATCGACACACCAACGTCAGCCCCGAGTCACGCCAGTCGA